ATATTCCAATCCGGATTTTACATCATCAACTTCGTAACACGCATACTAAGCGTCACCCGGAGAGATCATCGTGCTGCTTAGCTTATTTACTCATCAACTGTCCTTAATATCATTTTATTAACTCCTCCTCATTCCATTTGTATTAACCTCCATCATCTTCACGTAGATTTCTCTGGCATTGTCTTCCTGGAGGGTTGCCACACTCCAGAGGTAGGCAGAGCATCTTCATGCTATCATCGTACGGCGGGAAACTAGGTTTTTATCTATCAAAAATGAAAAATTCAGTAGAGATTATTTAACAATGTTCCGTATTCGGAAAGAATGTTTTAATTTACTGTCAGAATAGAGTCGTGTAGAATGTTAAACTTTTTTAATAATAATTGTCTGAAAAACAATTTCGAATTATAATTTTCGTTTGAACATTTATTAGCATAGACAACGACATTATTATCTACTTCTTTGGGAATCTTTTCATATCGAGTGTGACCTCAGTTTTCGATTTAAGTATAACCTTTTGAGTATTACACTTTCGGTCATCAGTAATAACGTTGCTAGCAGACTCTAAAATGCCCCACTAATATTCACACTAATATTCACAGAAAATGCTGTGAAGTCCATAAAATTACACTCTATAATGCTCCAACCTCTAAAACAAGCCCCATCTGTAGCACGATAATGGGCACAGTTACTGGTTCTCTCAGAAACACTAATAGTAGTCTAGACCACTAGTCGGAGACACCTGACGGCAGCACGACTGTAGTGTCATCTTTCTAGCTCCAACGGTAAAATGAACTGTTACCGGCCAGTGATATAACCAGTAATATAACTGTTATCACCTATCAAATCAAACGTAATCATTCGTCATATGCTGCTTTAACGTCTGTTTCATTGTTATTTCAGACCTCAAGAAAGCGCAATTTTCTCTCATTTAGAGCTTTTTTGGATATAATATAACTCACGATTCCCAACTTTGACAGTTTTTGGTTTTATTCCACTCATTCCTCTCAACCCTCAGTGCAGTAGACACATATAATATTATTATACTCTTTTTACTTTGCTTGTATGACAAACAATTTACAGACATGTCCTGATTAATCATACTTCCTTATTGGTCCTGATTACCGTAACTAATATCAAATAGTTTTACTTGATGCGGTTGGTAAAAACTTCCTCCAACGTCTAGTGATTAGACGTTTAACTAGATTATGAATATTAGAATTTGCAATTCTTGTTTATTAAAGTATTAACGCAGAGACAGTTGCAGATTCTCATTTGCAAACTCAATAAATGTGCCATGCAACTGCACTACCAGTGGTGTAACGTTTGGTGCCCCCTACAGCTTTTTGGTGCCCCTTCTGGAGCTTTTGTACCCCCAATTATTGTCGCGTCGACCGAACGTTAAGTTGACGACTGACTTTTTGTTAAAAGACCTAAAATTAGGGAAAAAGCGCTCCCTGGCCCTGTGATCGCCCCCCCCCCCTCATAGCGGGTCTTTTTACGCCACTGCATACAACTACAAAGTAAATAAATTTACCCTTTATACTATAAGATCAATTTACTAAAGTTGATAACTTCCTCTATAAGCGTCTAATTCTAATTAAATTATAGATATTAAGTTAGGATACTGATATTAATAATATTTGACCCCAGATTCTTGCTTAACTTCCTCTGCGCCGTCTAGCGATTAGATATGACATGCTCTACGGCCTAATGAAGACCCGCTAGACAGCACGTAACACCGTAACGCGTTACCTAGTCGATTATGAGATGCGTTACCATGGTTACGTGCCGTCTGGTGTCTAGCTGGACTTATTCAAATATAAATATCTAATTTTATTCATTCAAATAACCGCTCAACTAATCCTACTGTTTGCCATACACCAAAATCGCTCATGATATTTTAAGAAAAGTTATTTAAACAATTTTCTAGCTCGAAAACAAGGTTCCCCTAAAAGTTTTGTCTCGCCAAGCTGATAACGATCTTGTAGAAAATAATTTGTAGGCATTCTAAGCCTGAAATTGGCCATTTTGGTATTTTTTTACACGTATATTTCTAGGTCGGATTTTACACCTTAAATCTCAGTAGCATTTGAAATTTTGTAAATTATGCAAATCTTCTTCACAAGCCTTAATCGGCTTGCAACTTGGTCATATATTTCTCAATCAAATAATCGAATCCTTTTGAGAGGTTCTCGTAGACAAATATATCGATATTACAGCGACAGACTTAATCAAATTGAAAAAAGGCTTTGAAAGTGCCAAAGCATGATTTTGTTTGTATTTTCCAAATATGAAATCTTTTGCCGAACCAAATCATAAACGGTTTTGGTAAATCTACCCTTAAAGCTATAACTGTCTCGCCATTTGTACAATTAATTGTGAATTCCACAATATTCACTAATATCAGTTGTCAAAATTAAACGTCACCGGGATATTAGTACCGCCAGACTTATATATACCTAACGACTTCGTCGCTACTCAATTATGGGAATTCTACCAGTTCCACTCAAGGACAAAGGGAAATCGTGGCACGTGCGATTTATTGGATTGAGGACACATTTTTAAAATACTGACGATCATCTCTCGTCTCATCAAAGCATCAATTGTAAATAGTTTTTTTTGTCTTCCAGGTATATTCACTTAAATGGCTGTTCTTTTGTACTCGCTGACTAACCTTCTGGTAGCTTTATCTGACAGTTGGCTGTCGATTTATATGACAATGGTGTGCCATTTTCTGAGATTTGTCTGCCATTTAATGATATTTGTCGGCCATTTTCTGATATTTGTCTGCCATTTTCTGATATTTGTCTGCCATTTTCTGATATTTCTTTGCCATTTTCTGATATTTCTTTGCTATTTTCTGAAATTTGTCGGCCATTTTATGATATTTGTCGGCCATTTTATGATATTTGTCTGCCATTTTCTGAAACTTGTCTGCCATTTTCTGAAGGGATCACCAGGTCGTTAAAATTGCTGAAAAACACCTTAATTCAATCAAGAGCATGCACCGAAGAAAAAAATAGTTTAAGTTTTCCGTTAAGGATATTAAGTAAGGGAAAATATACAAAAAGTTAAGCTCGACAAAAAATAATTTCCTCAATTCTTCTAAAAAATTAGTCTATCATTTTACAGTAATCAATCTACGGTGGTCTTGGAACCTGAAGACATTTTCAAGGAGTCAAAGCTAATTGGGTGTCTGATCGAGTTTAATTTGCTGTCATAGCAACCGTGTTGTCATAGCAACCGGGCTTGGTATTGGGAGCTATCGACGATTTATAATCCGTTGACATAAAAGTTTTTAATTAAGAACTTACCTACTGTTAAGCTCATTTCTGCAACTTTCATCTAATATCATGTTATATGTGATGATAGATTATAAGTAGTTATTACCACTACCAGTAATTTCCTCTGGTTCCTTATGAACTAACTGACAGTGACTAGACAAGAAATTGGTCAATATGATCGAGTTATCCGATTATTTAGGAGATTAGTTAACAGTCCTTAATCCTATAACCATCTTAAATACTAAACAAGGCACAATTTCAAGATAAGTGAATTGAACTCATTGTTAAAGAGTTTAAGTGAACATATTCTGACAACGTTTTGATCACGTGATGGCGCAACGAAAAGAATAATATCAACAATCGAGATTAAAGTTGTCGGGAGTTGTTAGAGTGTAATAGATGTTGTTTGATTTCACTGGGGCATCATCCCCAGACATCCTTACTATTTATCAACGCACGTTTATCCCCAGACATCCTTACTATTTATCAACGTACGTTTATCCCGTTAATTTAGTGTATTCCAGGCCCAGGGTCGCCACTATCGCGTGAGGAACAATTATACTTGTCCACTCTCATGAGTTAGCATCTCCGGTAACAGCTTTGTCGTCTGGTAGAGACGGATCTTCTTGTTTTCTGGAGGTTTCTGAGCGATGGTAAACGGTGTTATCGGTTCCTAAATGCTTAAATGATGGTCGATGTTTGCTCCATTGGCATTAACTGTACTATATTTGGTCCGCCTTACGCAAAGACTTTGTGATGGCTGTCTCTACCTTTCAGATATTCTCCTGCAAATGACCCTTCATCGACATTAAATCTTTGCCCCAACACCAATTCATATTTTATAGTGTCAAACGACGTAAAGTTTCCTTTCTTTCCGCGGACCGTACGGGCGTACGTAATCTAACATTGCCTCTTATTTTGAAGCAGCTAGCGGCTTTTAAGTTATTATTTGCAATAAAATAAATAACTTCTCTGAGAAATTTGACAAAGAAGTCACGTAATCGATATTGGACAAATAGAAGGATGAAGTCTAAGAGTTACAGAATTCGATATTTAATCTGTAATCATATTATATATGAGACAAGATAAACGCCATCTTAGGACGCGAGGAGGATTTAGACCCCTCGTACTGCATTTAATCAATTTCTTCTGTAACGTCGTGAACAAATATAACTACGAATTCAAAAATAACAAAATATCCAAAAACATCACACTTTACATTTACTGAACACCAAGAAATATTACTTATGCAAAGACAAAAGAAGAAACAGTTTTAAATGTTCGCAAAAGGGCAAATAATAATGAATCAAAACAAATGACAACATAATATGTAACATAAAGACATAATAACAACAAAACACGATATTCGAATAAAAAACTTATACAATACATCAATACAATCCATAAATACAATACATGAAAATAATATTAAACCTAAAATTAAATACATCCTAGATTGGCTTCATTGCAATCTAGTTGAAAGTCTTCACTAAGTACTAACGAAGCCGTCCTTTGTTTTTATTAGTTTATTTTAATTTTATGTTGTTCAGGTTCTTTTGGGGGGCATTTCTTTGTTCATTGTGGTATTTTTTATTTTATTCTAATTTTCTTGTATATATACTTTTTGACCTTTGGGTGGAATTACTTTTTATAATCGGTCAGACATTACCATTGTAATTTGACTTTTTAATCTTTTAATCCGTTTATAAAAACGACATTATCTCAGGTAGGATATGAAACTATTCCAAGTACTTTTGATCTGTTTTCCTCTGGCAACATGTGAGACAAGTGAGTTATTTATTAATAATTGTAATCTCAACTTAAAGTCAGTACATACTTTTCAGTTATGTAGTTATTATGGAATTATTGATGCAATCTATAAAATAAGATCGCTAGAATTTCTTTCGCCAATCAGGACCAGTTATCCGACAAATTGAATGTAACTTCTCTGACTCAATATTCCTCAGCCAGTGATAAGTCAGTGATAAAGCTGGGCCTCTTCATCCCCGGAGATATAGGTGGGTTTGCAGAGAGTAAGAGTCTTCTCCCCATGGCTGACGTGGCCAGACAACAGATCAACATGTCTCCTAAGTATCTGGGTGATTACAAACTGGAAACTGATTGGTTCAACACTAAAGTAAGTAGTATCCTCTAACTTCTTCTTGAATTACTTGAGTTACCCGGACAGTGGACAGTCTCATTATTATTATTAATACTAGCAGAAACCCGTCTAACCCTGAATGGTGTCAAGACTCAGGAGACTAGAATAATTATTATCTATTTAATTCGAGTTTTTTGACACCGCTTGGGGATCCCAATTATTGGCACTAAAATTCTTATTCTTTGACCAATTTTTTATTTTTTCATGCTGCTTTGAAGGCCATTAAAGCATTTGAACCAGTCAAAAAAGTTTAAGTTGTATATCATTTACGGTTTTTGCGGAAAGTCGTGTTAAAGTTGATGCCGTGGTGGCAGTAAAATGGTTCGGATATATATGCATATATATGCATTGTGAACAATCCCAAGACCCAATTTGTCATTATGTAACCTTTTTGCCAATTTGCAGGCAGACTCAGGTAAAGCGATACAAGAACTGTTCACATTTATTGGGACTAAAGACCAGAGGGACTACGTAGGAATTGTAGGTCCGGTCTTTACTGACGTTACCAAGTACATCAGCGAACTTGCTCCCTTTTTCAACTACGTGTCGGTTAGTAACATATTCAATCTCGATCAACTGATTGATCTTACAAATTTATTGTTATCTTATCATCTTGTTTGATAATATCTGTCAATGATTCGCTGTTGCATTTTCATTGGCTAATTGCCAATTTCCTACACAACAGGTGTCTCCCACAGCCTCCAGCTCCTCGTTGAGTCAGGGTAGTAACAAATCTAATGAGGAAGACATCAGCGGTGAGAGGAAATACATGTAAGTTTTTGGGGTGTTGGTGGGGGTTGAAGGGGGTTCATCAATTCGCTGATAATTGGAGACACTTCCGGTTTCAAACAGAGGGAGAGGGGAGTCTGATAAAATGCATTCTGCCTATTAATTCGGTCCTTGCCAGAACTAATACTTGCTGGAATGGAAATTTTCCAGGTTTTATTCGACTCACAGATCACTTTGACAGTTACCGGAACTCGCTACGTCTGCATCCTGTTGAGACTGATATGTACAAGGCAGTGTTCCAGCTAGCCGGAAAGTGTGGGTGGGACAAGATCCACATCCTCTCTGGGGAGGGACAAAATGATATGAACGAGTTTAGAAGCTCGGTAAGTGGGTTTAAGAGTGATTTATTTTTTAAATAAGTTCAATGTAGTGCCTAGAGTCTAGACTGGTTGTTCGGGAAGTTCTGATTTTAGGCATTTAGGTCCGAGTTCGAATCCTGGCCAAACCAAATTCCTAATGTTTAGTGAGTTTAATTAATAGGTGTAGTTCACCTCATCGTAAATTTATTTGACACTTTCACTTTCAGGTTATCAAGGTATTCACAGATGAGATGAAGTTTCTGTATCGTTATTCGTTTACATCATCTAACAAGGAGTCCATACGAAACGCAATATACGAACTGAAGGTAAGTCAGTGGTTGTGGATGATTGGGTTATAACTTATAAACCACACGATCATGCAAGGTGATTGCAAAGGTTTGGAGGAGATAGATATATGATTCTGTTTATGATGTTTATGCAGGGAACTATCGCACAAGTTACTTTATAGTATCCAATCATTTCAATATTTCAGAAAAGTAACGCCCGAATAATAATCGCTAATTTCGATGAAGATGATGCCTACGATGTATTCTGTGAAGCGTACAAGGCTGACTTTTTATCTGAATCTCTTGAGGTACAAACTGCGGCTTCGTGATTTTTATCATGGATTAACAGTTTTTTCAATTTCAATAAATTTGTTAACTGAAAATCATTTGACTCTCTATGCTCTAGACAAATATTTTAGGTGCTACTAAACCGGTCATTTTCTATTTGCTCATTTGACCTGCCGCTCTCTCCCACTCAACTCTCCTATAGATTGCTCCGGCATCACCTTCTAGGAGGATCATCACATCACAAGGCAGGCAAAGCATCTTCATGCTATCCTCTAGTGGGCCAACTAGGTCAAACCTCTCTAAAAAAGCTATTAAACTTTACCTCTCAGTTCAAGGGAAAGAGGGTGTGGGTGCTGCCGAGCAGTTATAAGAACAACTGGGTGGCACAAGAAGTAAACAAGAAGCTTTCTAACGGAACCTGTTCTAAGAGGGATATCGTACAGGCTGTGGGAACGTGAGTAAATCATCAGGGAGATAAGGAACCCCCCTCTAGAGATAAAGATTGTCTGTTTTAACAAACTTTATCATAAGTAGTCTTTATTGTATTCCTAGCAAATATTTCTAATTTCTATGAAAAATACAATGGTGTGGTAACAGAGTCAGAAGAAAGTGGAGGGTTTAAGAGTTGTTTTGTCCAGGTACCTGACCCCGCAGTTCCAATGGAACACAACACGTTTAGACCGGAAGATGGACACTGACTACTACTTCACTGACACTTGGGAGGAATACTCCGACCTCTTCTACAAAGAATACGTGAGTTTACAAGTTATTGTCTTGTAACTTAGGTGTTTTAGGTGTCGTATATATCGTGGTCCGCCCCGTCTACTGCTTAACAGTTCGCCCGTAGTGAGGGCAAATCTGAGAGCTAAAACTGGTGGGCAGTTGTCATCCATGCTAAGAATATGGCCAAGTAATATTCACCTACATTTTCATATAACTGTCTCTGGTAGGGACAGTATTGTAGTATTGTAGCGGTTTTACAACTCTTTATTGCTAATAACCCCTGGTGGCCAGTGTATGTTCGATATCGATTCTTTAGATGTTTCTTGGACCAGCATGCACAGTTGTACAACAGCACAGATGTCAATTGGGCCTCCTAAACAAGCAGTTTCTTGGCAAGAGGAATCTTCGATTTCTCAAGCCAGACCTTGCTAGATGTCTGGACGGCGGAGTTTTTCAAGACAATTCTATGCATAATGTCAGCCTGCGAGCACAAGAGCGACTGAAGACTTTTACTGGAACACCAGGGCTCATCATATTTCAATTGAGTACCGCTATCATCTGCTTCACAAAGCAGCTTATTAAACAAATGACATTAAGCCTTTCATTGCTTTATTAACAACTTAAATCCGGTTTGACAACTTTTCTTCCGCGTTCCAGGTTGAACTGATCTGTCGTTAATCTTATCATGCACTCGTTTCTCCGCTACCACTACCAGTACCAGTAACTAGATGCCAGCGTCATCCAGACATACCACCAATTCCATTAACTAATTAAAATGTGTCTCAAGAGTTCAAATAGTGATAGCCTATTAGAGGTGGATTTAATTTCGGTTAAATGCAAGTCAGCAAGGATCATGATTAAACAAGCAGTGATCTTATGATTATATGCTTGAAGACAGTTACCGACAAGTTTTTGCAATTGAAACTAAACTACTCAGACCTTTATTTTATAAAGCAGCGACTAGTCTCAGGTCACCACACCTCTAGTTAAATAGAATTTGCTTGTCAGAGCAATTTCATAACCACCCACCCAAAGCAACTGACTGAATAGTGAAACTGGTTCATGGTTCCAGTCGGATATCCGGCTACAACATCCAGTTCCAGTCTCGTTTGAAAGCCGCATAGCTGGATATCAACCGGGACATATTTTAACTATGGATGAAATGAGACCGAATAGAGGTAATGGAAGTTAGCCCACAAACGGGAAAACATTATTATATATATATATATATATTGTCTTATTCTTGTCCCATTTTCAAATATTGAAAAATAAATTCCATGGACCGAAATTTCACAGTTTTGACTAACCTTTCCTCTAGCAACCAATTAGTCAGTTAACTAGTGAATGATGACATACTACACAATTTAAGTACTGGGAGTTTGATTCCGACCGGAGACTGTGATAGAGACTAGAGCCCACACGTGTCAATCCACTCTGGGTCAAGAACCACATTACAGTAAAACCCCAATTTACTGCGGCCATTTCCTTCCCCCAAATTGGCCTTAACATACATAATGTAAACAATCAAAACCCCAATTTACCGCAAACCCCAATTTACCGCGGCTCTTTCCTTTCTCCCAAACTCTGCAGTAAATTGAGGTATTACAATCTTTAAATCAAGATCTTCAATCTTTAAATCAATCTTTAATCAATCATCAACATAGTTCCTTCACAACAATTTCTTGGACTTCCTCACTGTATGCAGTCTGCACTTGTTAGCCGAATTTGGTGGTAAATAACTGCTGTCTTGACAACGGTGCAAAATAAAACCGTGCGCCGTGTTTACTTCAGTCTTCATTACGTATTCACCTAAAACACGAAGTTAATTAATCAAATACAGTTCTACAGTTGTTACCCGAATTTGGTGATACGACCGACAAAGTTATCCCCTTGAAAGTGGAAGTAAAATATAGTCTATTTGATTTAATAATTTCTCCTGTTGAGTTATTGACTTATCGAATAAAGGACAAAGAATCAAGTACATACCAGAAAGTTTCTAAGAGCACATACCACTCATAATCCGAACTTTTAAAGACTTTTGACAAATTTAGGCATTTTAAGCGGTTCCAAAATGGGGTTTCTGGGGGCTGAGGATTGGTTGTAATGGTTTCTGATGGTTTTCAAAAAAGTTTCAAACTGGTCTTTAAACACATTTGTCAGATTAATCTCCTTTGATCTTCGTTAGTCATTAAGTTAGGAGTCCTTATTTGTATTCATTATTACTATTTGACAGCCCCAGATAAGATATGTAACTATTTAAGACCAATGTTTAATACATCAGCTTATCAGCATGATAGTACTGTCAAATAACGATGCAGGGGAGCTCAATGCTCATGTTACCTATATTTGCAGGCGGATGAATGTAGGGCCTGCCAAATAGAAGAGAAAGCCGGCAGTCTGATGTACGATTCGGTTTGGACCTTCGCTATGGGCCTCCACAAGTTCCTTTATCATTTTGATATTGAAAAAGGTTTCTATCATTTATATTGTTTAGTGTTTACACACCCTTCCTAACTGAAGGACGTCAACATTTAATCTCTCTCTCTTCAGTAGTATTAACATCAGTGGTATTAACGATAACTTTCAGGGCAAATCAACGAGAGCCACAACAACACAGGTCCAGAGCGAGATGTTCTTCTACAAGAGCTTTTACGGAGAAGAGGAAGTCGCTCTTCTGATCTGATGGCAGCAATGCTCCAGCTCTCATTCGAGGGAGCTTCTGTTAGTTATTAACTTATATTCTTAATACTGAAATATTGCTATTAGCTGAAACTGAATCATCTCTTTTACGGTGGTTGGCGGTTACCTCTCGATATCACATAAAATTTGATGTGAAGTAGGACTAATCACAAGTGAAAGTGAAAGTGAAAGTGAAAGTGAAAGTGAAAGTGAAAGTGAAAGTGAAAGTGAAAGTGAAAGTGAAAGTGAAAGTGAAAGTGAAAGTGAAAGTGAAAGTGAAAGTGAAACTGACTGAGTATTTGTCAGGGAAGGATAGAGTTTGACAACAAGCTGGATAGAACTTGTAGGAGTGGTTTTAAGGTCAAGATCCAGCAGCTCCGAGTACTGGACTGCGGTAACAACACTTCCGACCAATGTGGTTAGCAGTTAGCAATTATTTAATTATTTAGTTAATTATCTAATTGACTGTGAAATGTATGTTTTCCAGCTACTTTTTACCAAGACTAGCTTTTACGTTGAACTGGGTTTTGAACCAAGATTGAACTATAATATAAATTATAACAATAACCCTGACAGTAACAATGATATTAACCCTGACAATGTTGCAGATGTAGAGCTGGTGGATGTATGTGCTGGAGAGGACAGACTGGATTGTGAGATGGAGTCCATGTGGGACACCTCTATCTACAGCAAGCTCGTACCAACTTGCTCCAACTCTACTGGTAGGATCAGTTCAAACCGTTAATATGGTCGATTTGAAGACGATTTACACATTTATTTTGAAAGCTCCTGCTAAAAACAAACTTTTAGTATCACTTATATGTTTTAAATAATCCACCTTCAGGTTAATATGGTCATTTTCATACTAATATTTATTATTCCCCCTTTTCCCTTATTGGGCCCAGCTAATAATCTGCGAAATGTTCAAGTTGTTGGTAAAAACACATCTTAATATAACCCACTGAAATTCTGGTAATCTCTGGAACTGTCAATCCTGTATATTCTATCGATAGTTATTTACGAGGGATGGATCGTGACCTCTCGGTTAATAGCTATCAGAAGTGTTTACTGTTTATTCTGCACGCGAAGCTACAGCACTTGTCTGGCTCAGGCGTGTCACTGAATATTCAATTAGTTATATCAAACACGAAGCCGAACACGAAGTCGAACACGAAGTCGAACGCGAAGTCGAACACGAAGTCGAACACGAAGTCACTGTATGCGTCTATAAGTGCCATCATGTGATATGAAATCTTTTAGAAACGTTATCGCCAGACAACACCTGTTAGCCTGTAAAGTAGGGCGGGGCACTTGAAACATATAAATGAAAGGTTTTATCGGCAGGAGCTTTCAAAATTCATGTCCTCCTTCAGCCTGTATGTTAGGCTCTTTGACGTTTAAAACTCGAGCACGCATGATCCTCAAAATCGCCGTTATTCTCAAAATCGCCATCATCCTTCAGAGTTCCAGTGCAGATGCCCCGTAGACTCACCCATCGCAGAGAAAATGGACCAGATTATAATCGGAATACCTCTAACCTCTCTCATATTCTTCACCGTTACTTCACTGATGGGTATCCTGCTGGCTATTACTTTTCTTGTGTTCAACATTGTATACATGAAGGAGAGGTGAGAGTCAGTATTATGACAACTTCACTAGTTGGGGGGAGGGGGGATAGCACAATATATTATGTTACTTAGCCACTGTTGATTGAATGCATATAGCGCTAACGTAATGTTTGCCTAAATTCAAGTACGGGTACGTTCAACGAAATTTATATGTTCATAATTATGTCCGTCCAAAATGACGTCTGTCCACATAATGACCGCCAAAATAAGATCCGCTAAAGTATTATGATTATTGATGTATTGCAAATCTGACCACCTTTCCTGTCCAGGGTAATCAAAATGTCCTCACCTATAATAAACAATATCATCCTGCTGGGAGCGGTGTTGTTGTACTCCTACGTTCCCCTCTTAGCCCTCATGATGGGGATTAACGACTACAGTATTCTCGACGAGAACCACCTCATCAAACTCTGCTCGGTGACTACCTTATTAGTATATTCATTATTCATATTGGTGACTACCTTATTAGTATATTCATTATTCATATTGGTGACTACCTTATTAGTATATTTATTATTCATATTGGTGACTACCTTATTAGTATATTTATTATTCATTTTGGCTATCTCTGCATAATTATTTCATCGGAGTGAGCTGGGGTTTGCTGGAGTCGTAGCGAGTTCATATTTTAAAAATTGCAGCGTCTAAGGATGCCGATAAAAATGATATGTAGTGCAGTCATTTCTGCACATAATCGAGTTCTATAGAACCTGTCAAAATTGGCAAAAATAAAAAGGCGTTGATCTGGGCACATAACATCTTAATTGGACATTACTTTTGTATCATGTCACCTGATCAACAAAAGTCTTCAAAGAGCCTTTGATCTCCAAGTACTCATTTAGTGGGCTTGCCGCAATCATTTAGCAAATAAACTGATTTATTATTGAGGATCAACAAGATTATCAATAATCAATAATTGCTGGAATTTCCTAGCGGTCTCGCCGTCTGTTCATTATGACAATCAACATAATATGTGTTAAATATATATATATATGATGTTTGTTTGGAGAAATCCAGTTTCAAGAGTGCTCTACCCGGGAGGGGAGCGTTGTACAAGAAAAACAACGATTCTACAAACTTAAAGTTTCATGCAAACGCAATCATCAGTGTCAGAATCACTTATATATATATGAGTTACTTAAACGGGATGATCTGATTTCAAAAAACCTTACAAGCTCTAATAGTAAGAAGAGTGAAAGATGTTTTCCTTTAGTTTGTGATTTTGACCCTAACTTACCTCCAATTGGTAAAATAGTTAACAAGAATAAATTTATCCTTGGCCTAGACCCCCTTTTAAAGTCTGTGATCCAGCCTAGTAAAGTATTTGTTTCATATCGTGGTAATAAAACTATCAAAGAAACTTTAGTTCCGAGTAAACTTTCAGAAGATCGTAAGTATCATGAAGATAGTAATGTTATAGCTTTAAACTCTAACACTGAAAATGTGGCTCTGCCTACTAGTATAGAAGAGGGGGGATGTTATCATTGTAACTCCAGATGTAAAGCCTGTAGAATGTATATTTGTGAATCAAAAACAGCTCAGAGCTACCACTCGGGGTACACTGTTAACATCATTGGACAACTAGACTGCAACACAGTAGGGGTGTGCTATCTAGTAAGGGATAAAGTCTGCAGACGTGCTTCAGTAGGAAGCACAGTTAACAATTTTAAGACCAGATGGCAGAACCACAAATCACATATTAGGAAAGCGGTTAGGAGTTGTGAAATTTCTTGTCATTTTAACGATAACCAGTTCCATAATCTTACCAAAGAGCCCTTAAAAACGTTTGACAATGAGTTATCCGATCAGATAGAGGTTATTATTTTTGAAAAGCTAGATTTTATAAAATGTTTAACCTTAGAAGATAGAAGTAGGGTTGCTAAAGAAAGAGAATCATTTTGGCAAAACCAGCTTATGACCCTCAGTGATTTTGGAGGACTTAATAAACGTAGTGCTCTTAATGAAATAAAAAATTGACCTTTATATGATATGTTTTAATATTAATCTTTCCACAGACACTTGCATTTTGATGTTTACTTTCACCTCTGCATCTTTTGTTTATATCTTATGATTGAATGAGACTTACTCACAAATTTCCCATCTCAGTATTGATCTATTTTTGTCATGTTTTTAATTTACTTCATAGAACAGTTATTTTAATTAACTTGCTTTCAGAATGAGACATGTAAAGATTACACAATCGATAGCTTAATGTGAATTTCGTGTTTTACTGTTTCACTGAATGTCTCAAATATATATATATATATATATATATAAATGCTATATACATATACAAATGCTAAATAGTGAGCGAAAATGAGCATTTAGCATGAATGTAGAACCTTCAGAGAAATTATTTGTAACCAACGGCTCTGCATTCCATAGCTCTAGGAGCCAGCCCGAAGAGATGTAAAGTTGGATTTGTTGGGTACAAATAGTATAGTACTGTGGGTTGCAGTGAACTGCAGGGTACCACTACAAGATTCTAAATAAATTATGTAGCCAACGATATAACTTAAAAACTTGTAGCTTAGCCAACCACATAACTTCATAATACCATTAAGTCAGCGTCTAGTCAGTAGTTTAGGACAATAAAAGTTGAAAGGTTCCTCATTTTCACCTGGTCATAAAGGCAGTAACGTAGGTTTAATGATTAATAAAACAATTAAATTTGTATTTGATTAAAGAACGTATTATAATAAAGTAAAATGCCTGTGTCTCGCCGTTTTCTAACTGGCTCTTTAACAATATTTACGCGTTCATTTGATTTCCAATAATCATCATGACGAGGGTTGCTTTAATGAATCTACTAGCCTTTCTAGGAAACTAATTTGATAGAGTTTCCAAGTTAAAAAGTAAATACAACGCAACTAGCGTGAGATTTATGAGGTCGCAAAAGTGGCATGTATCTTACATTTTGTGCTACAACTAAATATCCATTTTTGCTTTTGGGACCCTAGCACTCTCCTTAGCTAGTATTCATCAATCTCGCACAAATTTAATGCTTTTTAGTCACATCCATGATCAGAAAGTCACGGAATGGGAAAACTATGATATGTATGCAAACAATGCATATAAAAGGAGATTAAATCAAATGAACGATTGTATCCTTGGACAATGAACGTGTCAATAACTGTTAAATTAAGTATTATTCTCGTTAAAAGCACTGATGTTAAAGCTAATTTAACCTTGTTTTGTCCCCAGGTAAAGTTACAGAACTGGGTTTTCTTTATTGGGTTTACAACTACATTCGGAGCTCTCTTCGCCAAGACATGGAGAGTGTATGCCATCTTTACCAGTAAACAGCCTAGAAACATGGTAACCTAGCAACCTAGCCGAAAACCTTGCTTAGCAAACTATAATCAAACCCTGATTCTCTCATGATCAGTGTGTAACTATCCATAATGTAAAAGTCGTTATCTCACTCTTGTTTACGCTAATATAATGCATTAAATAGGGGTGCAATAACTGGGAGGGAGATAACTATTGTTATCTCCCTGGTACTACATTTAGGCTGTGATTAACAGGTAAATAGGAGGGATGTAACTATTGTTATCTCCCTGGTCCATCCTTAGTCGCTGAGATGTTGCTAATTATTTTAAAAACAGAAAGTGGTATAACTTATGTTCTGATTAATATTTTTGCTTCAAAATTTTACAGAATGTCAATAACAAGTAGTCAACCATTTGTGGCAAGTTTTGTGTGAGTGTGAGCTTCACTGAGCGTATTTGACCAATTTAAAATAATTAGCAACATCTCAGCGACCTGTAACAATTTTAAGAGATAAGGATGTGTCCTCTAGAAAGTTTGACTCTGGAATGTTCTATGTAGTAATATTATCGGTCGTTAATTTCCGATGTAAATGCTGCATTCGCTAACATCATTTCGTAGATCATCAGAGAATGCATTTACATCACTGCTTATAATATGATAACATGAGTTATATCCCTCGGTCAAACCTCGGGATATAACTCGTTTCATCCAACTCGTCAAACTCGTTGGATAAAACTATTTTCACAACTCAAAGTTGTGAAAATAATGTTATCACATTATAAGCAGTGATGTAACTGCTTATTAATCCCCCAATTTATCGTCCACGTTGAACTTGATTACCCCAAATATAGCTCATTGAAATGTGATGATAATAGCACAGAACCCCAATTATTTCCTATTTTTTCCCCGAGAGTTCCAGTAGATCAAGATTTTAGCTGAGCAAGAATATCATTTTCGTTTTCTAAACAAGGACCGACTGATTTCAATGCTACAAAAAACTTACAGTTAAGACTAACTTAAGGACCCCTCTGCAGATTCTCTCAGATTTGAAGCTGATGATCTTGATAGGAATCCTCTTGTCCGTGGATGTGATCCTACTTGGGATTAACGAGTACCTCAACAGATACAAGTGGGCCTTCCAATCTGCCAAATCTACTCTGAACGTGGTAAATATTCATTTTCAAATACATAAAATAACACTATTTTCACTCCTGTTTTGTATGACCAACGCTGGTTTATATGATTATATGCCGTGGAAATAAGCCTCCCTTTAAACATCTAATTATATGTGTCGAGCGTGTTAATTCACTCTATAAGTATACTGCAACTTCAACATTTTTTGTTTTGGTTTGCCTACATCTGTCCGGGAAATTGTCCGGAAATCCGCCCTAGCCCGGCACTCCTTCCGGCACTCTTTCCGTTCATTTCCTAGGATAAAAGAACCACAACACAGCTCAGATCACCTCAAAATCTCAAAATATTTCTAGAGATTCGGGGGAAAAGAATTAAGCCAGGTAAAACGCGGAAAATGGTAATTTGAGGATTTGTTGAATCTTGCATAGTGCATGAGAGTCTATTCGATCTGCCGGGTTTAAAGTTTAACATCCATCTGACTCCTTTTTATTTGACCCCTTTATATTTTATGACTAAAAGTTTTATCACTATCAGTCTTGCTGGCGCATCTTTTAAAGTCAACCTAGCTTGTTTTTACTTACTTTTACTTTGGGCAATCTTCGATCGAAATATTGCTTGTTTTTAATCTTCTAACCTTCTATCAATCAATCGAGGAAATTGAGCATAATTGAAGGGGAGGGGGAAGACTTTCAGTTTGACCAATCAGAGCCAAGTGTCACCTAATAAATGCTTGTACATGTATATTTAGATATTTGTACTGACATATTTTTAATTAATACTGGGCTGGAAGCAGTAAATAGTACTTCATTAGGTGTCCTCTCTGCTTGTCTCATTCAAGTGTCACAAACCAAGGATCTACTACTTACTCAAATTGACCATATATACAAGAGTTGCAGGCTGTACTGCAGGCTGTACTGCAGGCTGTACTGCAGGCTGTACTGCAGGCTGTACTGCAGGCTGTACTGCAGGCTGTACTGCAGGCTATACTGCAGGCTGTACTGCAGGCTGTACTGCAGGCTGTACTGCAGGCTGTACTACAGGCTGTACTGCAGGCTGTACTGCAGGCTGCAGCACAATATATGTTACATTTTTAGTATTTGAACGGGTTGTTGCAGAATCTTGACCGATCCTCCATAAATTAATCAACAGATGTTCCAATGAACACCCTGTAATACAGTAAGATGTTAACGAAATAAAGGAGCTGGTTATGCAACATTTCTTTGGCGCATGCACGTTACCATGGTAACCACAGTCAGCATGCCCGACTAAAAGGTCATTGCAGATCTGACTACATTATGATAATGCATGATTGTCGCAGTGAGTGCAGGCAAATAATAATCTGCTTAGGTTTAATGGATGGAATCTAGATAAGAATGTATTTTAATGCATTGTTTGTTTGCATTACTAATACTATAGCAAACCTGCAAATCACACTTGGTTTATGAGTTATGTGTTATGAGCTAACATTATTTTGCTGTATGATAATTGATCATTTTTCCTCCGCAAACGGTCTCCTCCACAATCGGTCTCCACCGCATGAACCCTTAATACTTCCTCCTCTTCAGAACAACTACCACCTGTTAGACGACACCCCTGACGTGCACGGTCTGGTCATGTGCGAGTTTGATCCTGATTCCACTGGCAGACTGTACGAGACACCCTGGTTGATTACCGTCGCTATTGTTTACAAGGTAAAACAAAAACATGGATTACTTTTTAGTATATCAAAAAATCAAGTTAGCACTAGTTGACCTTAAAGCTATTGACAAACTATCGAGTTCCTTACTAATCACTAATCACACCCAGGGACTGTTGTTGATATTCGGAGCGTTTATAGCGTTCCAGACGAGGAACATCACCATACCGGCCCTCAACGACAGCAAGTATATCGGTAAGTGAGTCCACTTGGGTCTAGGGGTTTATCATAAAGATTCAAGAGTTTGCTGGGCAGGGTGTGGTGTTCACAAGACTTTTTGTCCTCCCACAAAGATCAGTTGATCGCCTGATCGAGGAAGCTCTAACCTCCAGACCTAAACTATTCCTCCGCAGGCATCTCAATCTACACTATAGTAGTAGTGTTCACAATAGCAGGACCCGTGTCATTCTTCCTCCAGTCCCAGCCGGAGCTACTGTTTGGTATCCAGGCTGCTGGGATCATATTCACTACTACCATCATGATCTGTCTCGTCTTTATACCCAAGGTTAGAACAGCTGCTGCAGCTCTATGGTTCTTAAATATTGTCAAGAAACGAATTTTTGTAAGTCATTTATTAGCTTTTTATATGGCGATCAAATCTTTTTAAGAAAAGAGTTTTGTAAGTTCTCATTTATTAGCTTTTATATGGTGATCAAATCTTTTTAAGAAAAGAGTTTTGTAAGTTCCCATTTATTAACTTTTACCTTTTCGTCAGTTAACTTCTTTTATGAGATTATTTTTATTTATCAGTTTATTGGTTTCTGGAGTCACTAAGTTTACTATAAAGTTTATTAATCAAACGGGCGAATATGGTGTGAGATCTGTAGAATTCTCGGAAGTTGGACTCGCGAGGTCTTAGAACCAGTTACCTATAATATTGAGAATCTAGCTGCGATTAAAGACAGGTAGCAACACCCTATATGAGTATATGAACTAAAGTTCATGAAGTCACTTTCCTGGAAATAAATACATTATTAATTAATTTTCTAGTTAGCAATACCAAGAAATACCAATTGTACGTCAATATTACAGTGAGTGATGTCGGACAAATTGTGAGCAAGATAACAAAATCAAAATCATTATTCACAACTATGTAACACAGGCATACCAGCTGAGATACCAGCCGAAGGAGGCGATTAAAAACCAGACAGTGACGAGAGACTGGGACTCTTTAGCGGTGTCTAGAAGAGAGTCTGAGATTCAGGTAGCTAGTTCATAATGAACTAAGTTCATTATAAGATTATACAGTTTTTTATACAGTTTTTAGCAACTGCTCCTTCATAATATTTTGTATCATTTCTCAAAAAAGTCACACTTTCTGTGGTACACTCTGTAGTTAGTTTTAGTGTTTGATGAATTAATTACCTCCATATTTACGAATTAACTAGCATTATAATTAATTTGTTTTTTGCCATCTTAATATTAGGCAGTCTTGAAATTAATGATAGCTGACTTAGCCATTGTTTGAACAGAGACAACATATAAATGCGGAAAGTGCGATTCAACAGCTGCCTCTGTGTACAGCTAAAGTGCGGAAAATTTTTAGGCTTAAGTGCGGTTTTTTTAAATTTGCAAAATGTGTGGCTATAAGTCTGGTGAATCTTCATCAATTAGACAAGCTAATCTATGCGTGTTGTTGAGTTTGAGCAACAATCATTTTAATGAAAATGTTTCACACAGAGTTCTCTGACAAAAGAATTACACTCATAGAAGTTGTGATAGTTTTGTAACCTTACACAAATTTTATTCCAACACATCGTGCAGTTACAAGCTTAAATAGCGGCCAACTACTGCACTATCTAATAGTTACTAAAGTGACTAGGTATTTGAATCTGTTGGGAGTGTGTGGATAAAGGCGAAAGTGTGAAAAGTTTGGATGTAAGTTTATAGTGCGCACCCACCCCACTTATTATATGTTGTCTCTGTAATGATATGAGCATGTGACGAGTATTGCTATTACTTATCACTGTTTATTCATTGGTTAAGTGATTCCGTTATTAACAAATATTTTATATTGTGGCATCTCACATGTGTTAAATCCTTAATGTTGTGGTTGACATCTTTGATTTTTTAAATAAGCAAACCAGTGAATTAGTTACTTATAGAATAATCATTTCTTCATGAAGTCAACAGTTCGCCCTTCTTTGCTTGCAGTTTTAGATTGTTTTTTATTAGGGTGAACAGACGTTGTCTGCAACTATTTCGAAGGGTATTCATTAATCGTGAGTACGAACAAGTGATTACCAAACTTCAAGCACTAGTCGATGATAAATCGATTCTTTGACTTTATTCTCTCAAAAAAAACAGAATCCCGACACCTTGATTCTTCTCCTTCCTGCAGAATCTGCTGAACCAAAACCCGAGTTGTATGTTGAAAACTACCCCAACAAACACTACTTCCACCACCGTGGTAACAGTGTAGCCAGGTTATTACGGAACAGCATGTTTGATGAAGGAGTAGGATGGTTACCGCGTGGCTATACTCCTATTTTTCAGCATAATATGGAACAGATCACGACCCTGATCTAAAGCTTTTGAGTTTAAGACTGTCATGTTTTTTACCCTACAGGTCCTCCTTTTAAAAATAAGTTTTAAGAGAAGGGTCGAGATTGTTCCATCTCGTCCGGAAGCACGCTGAGTCGCTAAATCTCCTGTGAGGCATTGATTTATGCAGCAGATTACTCTCACTTCTGATTTCCTCTGATCAAATTAACTTCTTTTAACGAATCAAAAAGATAAATCAAAGATTTTGATGATTTTTTGCTGACAATCTACACTGATTGTTCACTTTTAAAGAAGCACTGTGTATTATCCAGAAATTGTTGTATTGATATGTTGAGTAGGAATTCTGCTGTTTTCTCAGAAAAGGAAGTAAGTCCAATTTGGCAATATTGGTATCCAAATTTTCAGTCGGAAATTCTCTACAACATGAGCTACATATTAATGTATGGAAATGTTGTTGCATGCAATTCTCGAGGAAGTAAGTACCAGTTGAGAAACATTTGTTCGGTTTTGCCCAAATGATTTCTGAGAGAAGGACGTACTTCCTTTTCTGAGAAAATCTTGAAAATTTTCTGAGATAAGGAAGTAAATCCGTGGACTTACTCCCCTTGATACGAGAACCAACCCCATTAGCAAGAGCTCCCGTCCCTTATGTGATCTACGAGTCGAGCAGACAAATCTTAAAGATTATGTTTACTTCTTAATGTACAGCTATGATGTACAGAATTGACACGACGTGAACTCTATAGTCTACCCTATATCTAGCCCATTTCTAACTGATGGGTCACATCACTAATTATACGTCACTAATTGGTGACATGATATGACCCCTGATAATCGGGGGCCCCCTAAGTCGGCCTCCCCAGGCAACCACTCAACAAGTTGTAATAGGTATGTGTGCGTGTACCATATATTGTGACATTAGATCGAGACATTCATCTGTTTCATCATACCAGTTTAAGCTCATAATATTTATATTTCATATACAGACACCTCTTATGGTTAGTGATCCTATGTTGCCGTATACTTAATCTTAATCTCCTAGCCTCGCGTTTCTTTATATTAAGTTGAATGGGTTTTGAGTGTTATATTATCTATAAACATTGCTATGCTCTTGTCTCTGAGTCTGTGTTTTCAGTTCTTTAGACGCTGGTTCCTTGAGCACATTTTAATCCAGTACTCATATGTTTCTTCACACTTCCTAACTAACACTTTGTGTTTTTTGACTGCATCGAACGTGTATTGAAATTACAATATTCAAATAAATTTGATTGAAAGCTGGACGTTGCCAGGCGGTTCTAATGACCAACTAAAACATATAAAATGATAGCGAATAATAATCCCTCTGCTCAGGGCACTGCACAGTATATGGTGCATGTTTAGTATGAACTCACCTTCACACTTCAATAGCTTAAAATGAAATAAAACCAACATATTTCGAAAACTATAAAGTTTTGTGTGCTAATATGGAGCGAAAAAAGAAAAGATAGTGCAAGGCGGTATTCATAAACACTCACCATCTTTAAAAACCGCACACATACCACAGCCACAACACACATCATCACTCGATAGTCGATTGGCTTGTCTTTTGAATGAATTGTCCCCGATCGTATGAAAATCAGTTTATTCGGTTTCACTTCTCTTTTCTTCACCAGTTCATGAACCAGGAGCCTGTCTTCTTCGGAACGATCTGGTCTCATATACACTTAGTTGAAAGTCGCTGAGTGGCGCAGCTTCTTGACTTGACATAGCACTTGATGGACAGCGCTGTGACTTGATAACGAAACCTTGACTGGGCGCTTCGAATTCTCTTTACGAATCTTTCCTACTCTGGTAGCCTGCCGTGTAGGTTTTACTTTTAGTCCTATCTCCTGGAATACCTCCTGTACCCGCTATTCAACATTCTCGTTCTTCTGTTCTGGCAGTCCAAATAGTACAACGCTCCTGCTCCGATCCTACTCCTGGACGACGGACTTGTTCGCTGATCTTTCGCTAGGGAAGTGTGAATTCAACTACATGGCACGCCTAATCAAAGAAAAGAAGTTCGGTCTCGCTAAGCTCCTCTCAAGAAACTGCAGATATGTCGACGACCTCAACACCATGAACTATTTGCATTTCTCTAACCTAATCAGGTCCATTTATCCACCTGACCTGCTTATGGAGAGGAGTGGTGACGACAATAAGTCCGTAAACTATCTCGACATCAACATCTCGATAAATAACTCCGGACACGTCGCCACCAAGCTTTACAACAAACTTGATGACTTCAACTTTCCTGTGGTCATGTACACCTTTCCTAACAGTAATATTTCCTCTTCTGTTGGTTATAATGTTTTTTACGGTCAGGTCCTTCGTTACTCTTCCATTATCTCTGACCTTGATTCTTTTCTGTGTTCTACCAACACCCTTTATAGGACACTTCTTTCAAGATGTTATAATGACAGACTCCTGAAGAGTAAATTCAGAAAGCTTCTGAAAGACCGACCTAGTATTCTGTACAAATACAGTATACTTGATGTCAGCGACATCCTTGACATCACATTTAACGTGAACAGGTGATCACTGACGAGTGATTGCTAGGGGGTCTTGGCACATTAAACCGGTACAGGTATTAAACCCCCGAAACCGGTGTGCCAAGTCATCTGCTGATGATGTTCACATAACATTATTTCCTCTCTCCTTTATTCCTTCCGTCTTTTCTTAAACTTACAGTTCAGTTACTTTATTTCACCAGGTCTACCTAAGGATCAATTATTCTTTGGTGGGGTTTCACTTCTGGTATTGGCTTCATTCCCGTTCCTTTTCCTTATTCTTTATACTTATTTTTTATATAGTTTAATGAGATTGACCAATTTCTTCAGTGTAGCCGGATCTGCCAAACTATCAGTATGGCAGACCATAATATAATGTTCTCCGCAGCAGCTTCACTGTATGACTTGAACTGTTCTTTCAAGTTGCTCTCCACTGAAGACTTGACCACAGCGCTAACTCCTCACGTCGCTCATGAGGAAGGCTTTAACTCTTTAAGTCTAAACAGGACTACCTCATCGTCCATGACTGGCAGTGTTGAGACCTACCTTCTTTGAACAAATTACAATCATGCTTATTGTTGCCCCCTTTTGTTTGACAAACTCAATTGATACTCACGGTAGATTACTGGCATCCGGTAGTATTGTTTATACTTGTAGAATTAATGGCACCCGCTATTGGCACATGCTATTGTTTGGCACCCGCCATTATTTATACTTGCCCCTGTTAAATTTAATGTCCGGTAAAATAAGGTCCGATAAGGTATATCATTTGGGCCTCATAGACAAGCAGTTTCTTGGCAAGAGAAATCTTTGATTTTTCAAACTCTCATTTATAAATAATTATGTATCATCACTCATTCTGTATATAATTTTAAGTTTATATTGTTGAGCACGCAAGTATTAACTCATCCATTGTAATCGGCGCTCTTAATGACAGATACGAAATGGAGGAATCCAATCGGTTAATTAAGGAGACAAGTAGGTACGATGCCGACCGGCTGCCTGAAGAGGATGAAGAAGAACTGGAAGAAAAAACGATCGAAGAATTCCTCCAGCACCTTGGCTTCGGAAGGGCACAGTGGTTACTTTGGGGGTTCTTCTTTCTGATTCCCATAGCGAAAATGAGTCAGCTGTATCTGGTACTCATCCTTATTCCATACCTGCGCTGTGAGTGGGATCTGGGAACGGGGTTTGAAGCAGCAATTGGAGCTAGTTCCCACATTGTTCGTTGTTTGACAGGAATACCTTTGGGGGGACTGGCTGACAAGTACGGGAGGAAGAAAGTGCTCATTACTGCAATCTACACTTTCGTCCTGTCAGGGGTTGGTGCCGCCGCAGCTCCCGGAAAATGGTTCTTCTTAGCCGCCCGAATCCTCCAAGGTTTTGCCATCGGGATCTGTTCTCACATTCCATTCATCTACGTAGCTGAAGTAGCAAGTTCCGATTTCAAAGAATTCGCTGTGCTGTCCATGGCAGTGAGTACTCATTTTGGATGCCTCTTCGTCTCTGGACTATCCTACCTCCTGTTGAACCTGGTGGGATGGAGGTACATGATGTTGATAGTCACTGCCCCTATGTTGGTCATAGCTGTTGGACTGATGTTAACTCCGCAAACCCCCAGATACGCCCTCGTTAGCGGGGGAAGACGAAAGGCAATTGAGTCACTTCGTACCTTGTACAGGTTGAGTGGGAAGATCTTTCCAGCATCTTATTCTTTGATCGAATGCAGCAATGTTACCATGATTAAACGCAAAACTGAGGCAAGGGGTAACTTGAAAAGTCTCTTTACTCAAGGGTTCGCATGTATAACCATACTTTTGGGTTGTATGAACATTGGTCACAATTACTTGAGCGCTGGTTTTGGTGCTTATCTGCCCCTATACAAATCCTCTGCTTCCTCTGCAGGTGCCCACTCCAATGTCACAACTATAACGAGAAGGAATGTAGAAGGGAAGGAATGTGGCCACAGTTTGGATCAGGCAGGGTTGTTTGAGATTGCAACGTCTTTCTCCGGTGACATTTTAGGGATTGTAGTGACAGCTACAATAAGTATACGGTTAGGACGGACTCTAGCACTTAGGATCTGGGCTTTTTACAACGTTCTGACAGCTTTACCTTTCTTCTACAAGATGGATCCAGGTTTTGAGTACGTCACAGTTCTGTCCTTCAAGTTCTTCGTCAGTGGGTTTTGGTACCTTTTGATGCTGATCACAGTGGAGGTGTTTCCCACTACAGTGAGAGGTACTGCTACTAGTTTTATAAGTGCTCTGGGTGACATAGGGGGTATCGGCGCCAGCTTACTTGTGTACTTGCTCTACCCAATAAGTCATGTTCTTGTAGTTGGGTTGTTTGTTGGTGCTGCAGCGACAAAACTCTTTGCCAGCCTGTTTTGGACAAAAGATTCAAAGGACAAAGATATGGCGGACTCTTTTTTTGAACATTGAATCCTTTTATAGGGGTTAGTTTTACGATGCAGCCGTAGCCTTGCAAAGCTTGTAGTTTTTAGCTGTCGTAAGTATTGGCGAAGATAGTTTGATTGTTATTTTGTAATCCGATTGCATGCGTTGGATTCTCTTTGTAAAAATATTACGAGCGATGTAAATTTTAAATAATACTAAAAGATAAACTTTTTATTGAAGCTTTAAATACACCACCGTCTAGTTTAGAAATTGATATAAAGATTCCGTTGGATCCATGCAATATCACACATTCGTGTAACTTTTCCTCGGTTGTCTCAGTCGAATGGTCGGAATACCGAGATTGAAGGTTAAATGAGGAGCTGGCGTCCTTAACCGCGTATGGCTTAACTGTTATTATACATTCGGCTCCTGTAACACTAACTGGCCGGTGCTAATTGAAACTCTGTCGTTTTAATTTAATCGTCCTGAGATGCGGATTATCCATGAGAAGTCATGAGTGAGAATCATTTTTTGTATTTGAATAAAGCTTATAAACATGATTTGGTTGCGACTAAAAAATGAGGGAACCCTCTAAAATGATGAGTTGAAGTTGGTTTCATGAAACACAAATATATATTATATAATGAGAAATTCCTGTTTAATTGCAGCTGAAGATTATACCTATTGCAGTAGTTCGCAAATGAAAACTAAAGAACGCTGCATTATAATAAAAAACAGTAACTTTTGCTACGGGACAATATATTTAACATGGATTACAAAGCAGCTGACTTAAAACACAAAGCATCTTTAACAAATAATATCTCCGCCAAACCTCAAGCTGAACTAACACAAAAACCCTCAGCAAGTGAAAAACCTGCGACAAGAACTGAACAAACGTGACACAGTGATCAAGCTCCTCCGGGAGAACGAGCAGCAGACTATTACTAAAAGTGAGGGACCTTGTGAAGGAGAGGGACAGGTGACCCAGAGATCTCTTTTTAACTCTGTTGGGGAGGACTGTATTCAGAAGACGCTGTACAATTCTGGTTATTCCTCTGCTGTATGATGTGCTTGCTGATATTAAATTAATAGTAGTGCTAGCTAAATTAATAGTAAGTAGCTAGTATTAAATTAGTATCAAACATGGGATAATCCAGTCTTCATGTGCTGAGAGTCAGAGATTATTAAGTGGGTTTTATAGGCTGTTATAACGGAATTTTAACTTAATATTATTGTTAAGTTTTTACTGCTGTGTTTGTTTCACATTATATTCATATATTATGTTAAATCAACGTATTTCTTTATCACTCTTATTTCTTGGTTTTTCGATTTGATTATGAAATATGACTCAAACTTAGAAGATTTGCTTATGATCTCAAGCTGAAATTTCAGTTCTATATTCGTGATTTCGATTAGCAATTTGGTTTGTTCTTTTGTGAGATGATAGTATTTCCCTCTTTATATTGATACGTAAAACGTTTCATTTAAAAAAAGGTCAAATCTATATTGAAGAGATTGTTCATGTACTACAAACGATCTAGGGAGAGGGGGTTTGGAAACGTTAAAAGTAATTCTGTAATTGCAACACAATAGCCGAAAGTACAAACGGATTGGGTGGAGGGTGACATGTAAACGATTCTTAGTAAATAATTCTGAGAGCAATGCAAAAGTTAGCCTTTTGCAAACACAGTATTTATTCGATTAACGTTATTTCGATTAAATGATAACTTATTTACCCGACTTTAAAAGAGAATAGGGCATTTTTAGAATCGTCAGTTAACATTGTGATTGATAATCTGAGTACTCTAAACGGGAGTTGGCTAAAATGTAATATGTGAAAATATGTACTGCCAATTTTGTGTATGTACTGCCAATTTCGTGTTTTATTCATGACAATAATTGGATTTTATTTTTGTTGGAATAGTGAAATTTGCTTTATTTGTTGAAATAAAATTCATCCTGAAATAGAAAGTTAAGCCATGCCAGACTCTTTCAGTTGAACACTGAGATCTTTGTTTCCCTTTCAGCTGTCTTTAGTCTTGTATATAATAGTCGTTCTTTAAATTAAATTTTCACGGTGGCCATAGGGGCCATCTACTTAGGACGTCCGCCAAAATCGCAGATTTTCAGACCACCCCCCTCCCCCTGTCAGGGTGTGTCCGAATTTTCAAAACCATCCCCTCCCCCAGACGTCCGGATTTCCAGCTACTTTTAAGAGTACAAATAAAACCAACTCAAATTCATTGTTAATAAAATGTGTAGTTACTTAAAATAGACAATGATAGCGTCGAACAAGCTTAGCACAGTTACATTTAACTTTAAGTACATTTAAGTACTTGTTCAAAATACAGGGATCTAAACTTACAAAGTAATTAGTGTCAAGGAGTTGAAATAAATGGGACTTTTTCGTTAATTCTGTCAAAATTTCCGGACGTCCGGATTTTCAGAAACCAACCCCTCCCCCTTCCCCCTGTCCGGATTTGTCCGTCATTCCAAAACCACTCCCCCTCCCTATTTGCCGGACGTCCTAAGTAGATGGCCCGATAGAGGACTATAAGATCTGAAAACTCCCATCAATGGCACGTACCTCCTCACTCAATCCAAACTCTACCCGTCTGATCATAATATTTGATATATTTGGCTTTTTATTCTACGGACCACCATTTGTTGTTAAATTCACAAAATCCTATTATGTATATGGAAATAAATACAAATAAAATATTCAAAATTTCAGCGTAGGACTTTCAAAATTTATCTTTATACAAATACTTCAATGAGTACAAGAATAAAATTTCGTACAAATAATATTTCCAAAATAAAACAAAATATCCAAAAATAAGTACAGTAACGATAATCTTTGATTAGAAAAAGATTAAATTTAAGGTCATTAATTTTCAATAATGAAATTATAACTCACATTTTATCACCCGCTTCACTTGAAACATAAATTGAAAATCAAACGAAATAAAAGAATCAATCTCAATTCACTATTAACAGAATTCATTTTATCATCACTATTCGGATCATACAAAGACCTGTTTTCAATTTTTATCCCGAAAATCATAACTCTGACAACCGATTTAACCGATTATAATCAGTTTCAACTTTCACAAATGTCAAATTTTAAGTTAGAACCTGTTCAAAATGTAAAATCCCAACATTACTGGCTACCAGGTTTTACCATAAACGGTACTATTACTAACATCTTCACAGGGTCGGCTTAGAGAAACTATTTATCAAAGATCCTAAGATGTAGTCCATAGTTGGTCTTTAAAGTCCCGAGTTCTTAAAGTCTTCACTCCCGAGTTTCTAAAGTCTTCACTCCAGAGTTTCTAAAGTCTTCACTCCCTAGTTTTTAAAGTTCGTCTTTAGAAGCGCGAGCAGCGTTTTTCTCCTTGGCATTGTCTATTCTCCGCTGTAACAGGACCATATCTACTGCTCTTGAAATCTGATGTGTGAACCACAACCCTGCAGAATATCAGGTTAAAATTCACAAAATTAATTTTATGTAACTTTATGTTTATAATAATAAGCTTTACTCCTGATTAAAAATAAATGCGAATCCTACAGAACCAAAGATTTAAACCTGATCATGCACGATGGTCAAAAACTATTTGGGAATTCACTGATCAATTAGACAATAAATTAATTAATTACCTATGGCATATCTTTCTCCCTTTTCCACAGCCTTAACACCATGAAAGGTCTCAGCACTGAAGCCTACAATGTTACCACATGATGGCTGCAGACTTTCTGTTACAGTGTATTTATTGTTTGTTATAACGAACTCTCCACCTACTGGACTGATTTGGGAACATTTCTTGTGAGTTTATTTAATATTAGAGTATTCATAGACATGCAGTGAGGAAATGATCGATAGTTTTTCTCTTCAACAATTTACATAAATGGACGAAAAATCTTGGTGCGGTGCGGTGTTTTACCTATTAAGATATACAACTGCGGACCAATCTCTCTCAGTAAAAGCTGGAGACTCTTTAATGCATGAACCGTCCGGTTTTATGACACAATTATCAGCATGTATCGGATGCGAATATTCTGAGACTTTTTCTGAGCCTGAAGAGTGAAGTCATGATTTGAAAATGGTAAGAAAATGTCAGCTTCCGTCCTATTTACCTATAGAGTACAACAGATTATTTGAAGGATTGCTTTTAATAAAGGATTGTTGTACTAAGGAGTTGCTGTACTAAATAATAATACATAAGATCATCACAACTATAATACAACACAAAATATCTTAATAGTACTACGAACCTTCAATTGCTGATCTTTGGACCAAGTGAATGTAGTTAAAATAAAGGGGTTTCACCAGTTTAAATTTCTTTTCCAAATGAGATTTTGCTGCCTCAACAACTGATAAATACAACTGCACCGCTTCTGCTTCGACTTGTCCACCCTCCAATAACTACAGGGTGCAAAAATAATCAAATTAAACAGATAATTTGTTCAAAAGGGCCACATATCACAATTGAGCCGCGCTCATCATTTTATTTCATTAACGATGTAAAGCTTTTTTCTTTAAAATTATTGTTTGGCGTTCGCGCCAGCACAATCTGCCCTTTAAATTTGCCACAATTCTACGATTATAGAAGTAAGTAACTTACTTCTATAGCTCTGCTCAGCTCGATTCCGCTGTACTTCTCGTTTGAACTGAAAGGCGATGAACCTTTGTCTTTGAAATGATCGTAACCGTCGTTTTCAGTTGAAACTTCCTGAACATTGGAATTCATTTCACTATTGTTATTTATTGAGCGTTGGTACCGGATGAACAAATGAGCAAACAGTATCCTTTTAGAAAAACAAACAATAGCTAAACGGCATACGAGTATTGGGCGGTATATGTTTCATTTGCATCGCAATCTTGAGTCAAGTAGTAAAATACACAATTAGTATTTACCTTAGCAAAATATACCAAAGTATTACATTCTTCAGTGGATAAGAACCCCTTATCTCCAAATGAATTATCAGTTCTAAATACACTTTCTTCTCTTGGTTGCTGTAAAACAGCATTATTATTAGTAAAATACTATTATAATTTAATAATCAGAGAATATAAATGCCGATTTGAGAAATTCCTCGGTTACCAAACCTGTTTAGAGTCTGTTTTCTCCAATAATTCCATGTCAATCCTATGGTTGTTAAGAAAACCCTGGATATCCTGAAGAGATAATGCCAATTTCAGTTACTCTAATAATATAACTCGGTAACCGACTGGTCAACGAGGAGGTCCGCAGATTGCGTGATGACCGTCAAGATGCCTACTTCTAAACTTCTCGACAGGTTCAATAGGTAGGTACTCAATAAAAGTAAAACTCTAACTAAATAATAAGTTGGATGCACACAACATAATGGATAAATATGATAAACAGCACGTAACAAAGTAGAGAAGTATAATATCCCACCTGCCTACTGGTGCCCTTAACTCCAAACTGACTGCTATATAGCTCTATGTTATCGTTAATAGTGGGGTTACGAGTGTGGAGGAGTGTGTAGGAGTAGGCGGTATCTGCTCCGTCCTGCATTGACCCCACTGCAGAGAGTTACTAATATAGAGGAAACATGTTAAATCAGCGATCAGGTTGGGTTTTAATTCTTCCAGTTAATCTTAATCTTTGTGGTGAACTTTCTAAATAAAAGTAGACATGGTAGAGGAGTCAAGTACTACAAACCTGTGTTTCATTTGTTAATGTTCAAAGAAATTCTATTGGTTTTTTGTGTCAATTAAGTTCAAAATCCAATCCCAATTACGGACAGTAAATAAAAGAGGAATGAGGGAAGGGTATTAGCAGTAAATCCACACTTGAGGTCCACTAGATACAGTTATAAACACATGGTAATTGATAGTACAGTATACCTTACATACGTGTGAAGTGTTGCACTATTATATACATATGATATAGCGGTGAAGGATAAGTATATCCTGCCGGTACAACACACATTGTACATTTTGACACCCAAAACCCAAACCTTTCAAATATTTGAAATATCGGACTGTTTAAATGCGTTATAATACAGATGGTGAGTAGTAATTGAACGCGTTAAAACAAGAGAGAGAGAGAGAGATAGAGAGAGATAGAGAGAGTGAGAGAGAGAGAGAGAGAGAGAGAGAGAGAGAGAGAGAGAGAGAGAGAGAGAGAGAGAGAGAGAGAGAGAGAGAGAGAGAGAGAGAGAGAGAGAGAGAGAGAGAGAGAGAGATAGAGAGAGAGAGATAGAGATAGAGAGAGAGAGAGATAGAGATAGAGATAGA